TATAAAAATCTCAATTATACCGATTTGATAGGGGACTATACATATGTTTGATTTAGTATGTTGACCAAACACCCCACTGTACATACTGTACATAGTTTTAGACTATATCCGTAAATAATAAACGTTACATTGATCATGCCGAAATCAATAACTTATCGAAGCGGCTGAATAATCATTCGGTTAATTTTTCATAAGGTGTCCCAGGAATAATGATAACAGCTGTAATACCGAGGATCTGTATGGATGCTGTTAAAAACTCAATAGATAAGGTTCCTTTCTTTTTTCAATTGGAGTCACTATTTGCACAGTCTAATAAAAATAAACCGAACTAACATTTATAATGAATATATTATATATTAAGGATAAGGTACGTATTATTGAGTTGGAGGGTAAAGTCGAAGAATTGACAAAACAAAACCAAGAATTATTAAGGGAAGTACAAAGCTTACGAGTTGAAAAGGCGGAAAATGAAACTAAATTAACAGATATTCGCAATCTTATTACGTAGAAGAAATACTGATGCATCATAATTTAAATGCGTATCTATCTGCTTTTTTAAATTGAACTTTGATTATTAAGTGTTATTTTTTTACTGTTATAGGGGAACGTTTAAAGGCAGGTTCGAGTTATGGTTACTTTTTTGATGCAGTCAGTGTTACTATATCTATATGCATACGTATCAAGAAGACAATTTATGTACTATTTAGACGTTATATAAACGAACCTGGCTTTAGCGGATCTTCGTTTATTATATACAGGATATATACATATTTATGTCTTAATTGGATAGATTAGGGATAGATTAGCCGCTCAAACAAAATTTAGAACCGGCATTAAGCAATAATACCAGCCAATTATACTATTGCAAAATTATCGTCTGGAGAACTTTACTTAATACATGGGCTACCATTTTATTAGTAAAATTTCGAGTGATCAATTGTTCGTAGTTTTTTTTTTTTATCACTGTCATAAACTATTGAAATTTTAATGTTGCTAGTTTCTGGTTGTATAGATTCATTTCAGATATTCGGAGGATCTAAAACCTATTCAGCGTACGGAAAAAATTACGTAATATAACGTTTATTTAATTAGCATTAGAGTTAAGCCACATTAGGCGGTTTATATAAGCAAATTAGCTTGACATTTTACTTTATCGAGTAGATCGTCTCATGATTGCCCCGCACCCACTTTTGGTATTTTCTGACTGATTGTCTACTATAAGCAGCTAAAATCGAAAAAATTAGAAACCACCTTAGCTTTGTCCCGACGACAATACTTTTTTACAACAATGAGCACCCAAAATCTCGTTGAAATAGCGAACCAGGTTGACAATAATTATCTTTTCTTTTCGTGACTCAACGCAAAAAGAAAAGACTTATTCTAATTTTGTCCTTTTTCCTTTAAACGCGTTTCATATAACAAGGCGACCAATATGGATTTTATTGGTCTGCCAGCAAACTATTATTGTGATGAGTAAGAACTTCTCTCTCTTTATGCATGATTACTTATAAGTAATTTAGTTTTGTGTCTAACTTTTACGTACTAAAGTTTTAGTACAATTGTCGAATATTACCCAGTCACGACTGTTCCCAACGCGTTGCAAGGATGGGCATTCCATTTGATACAATCAAACACAAAGAAATAGTAAATCTTTTAATGATAAATTCATTAAATAGGGGTGTTAATTGAGTCAATCGATTCCGATTAGTTTTCATAATTATTATTATTTAGAAAAATTAAGTTACATTTTGAAGAACGACATTTCGGATAGGACCGATTAATCCTGTCCTTAAATTACTTATTTGAGTAGGAACAAACTATTGAATGGGACCTATTGGAATCGACAAACGATTAAGATCCCTAGTGGGATATATGTGCTACAATTGCTCTAAAACGTATTTATAACTTTGTAGTTACGAGAACTCAAGTATGGGTTGGAATCCTTCAAATAAATTGAAAGAATTGTGTGAGTCTGGTGCACGATATCTTATTGCTAGAAAAGTTCATACGATCAATAATAATGTTATTATTGGGAATCCAATTGGATTTGTTATGTTTCAATTTACCTTTGAAGAAACTATGGCGGATGACGATCAGAAAGTTGAAGCAATATATTGGTATATTAACTTTTAACTCAATATATCATCAGTGAATTTATTTTATTTTAATTTCAACTAATTTATTTTTATTAGTTATGAAATTCAGCTAACTGAAGAAGCAAGGAACAAAGGATTAGGCACATTTTTGATGAATACGATGGAAACAATAGGAAGGTATTGGGGAATGAAGAAAAGCATGCTTACCGCTTTCAAAGGTATTGATAATTTACGGTCAATTCTCTTTATAACCACAGTTTTCGAAAGTTCTTTATAAAATAATTTTTTACTTTCTATATAATAAATTTTTAAAAGTTCGTTATATCCAGAGTCGACTGGATTTAATTAGTTATTAATTCTTTTAAAATTCTTCTAATACACAAATTTATTTCATTGTCGAAATTCAGAGAACACTGCTGCGCTTAATTTCTACTGCAACCATCTCGGGTAAATAGAATATTTTGCAATATTATTTTATTGTTAAGTATTATTGTGGCATTAATTTGAACATATATATGTAGATATGAAATAGATGAAATTTCTCCTAGTCGATGTGTTGACCCAGAATATGCCAATGATTATGATTATGAGATATTAAGCAAACGATTGTAACTTTCAGGTAAAACAATGTCTCAACACCTATTGTTTAGAGAATATGTAGAATCACTTTGTGCTATTTTTGTGACTTGATATTACGATTATGACATTTTTAATTCTTTAATCATCAAACTTTATTTTGTTTCTTCATCAAATTTGTAATCTGCACTAAAACACCTCTTTTGATAAACGATTTACTTTTTTCAGCAATAGCTTTGATTTCTTCCAGGCTTTCCATAAAATCTTTAGAATGCTTTGTGACAAGTAACATTAATAGCTGACCCAATTTTTTGTCATCTGGCAATAATTCAATGTTGAAATCTAGGTGTCGTAAAAATTTTGGAATAATATGCTGGGAAGCTGTTTCTTTTAAATCGAATTTTTGACTAAATATCGAAAATAGGACATCAATTGTTGAAAGAGTCCATTTTATTTGGAGGTTGAAAGAATCTTTTGATGTGGAATTGTTAACTTGAGAGATCGAAGGATAGGATTCTGAAAATAGTTCCCTAAAATTTTTGTTAAATCAATATATAAAATGGATACTGTTGCTTGAAAATAATGTTGAGGTGCTCACGTCAATAATGCGACGATAGATTCTTCACTTAATCCACTGTCGATTACACGAGAAATCACTTCTAATTGAGGTTGTGCTGTATCTTACATGTTAAAAAGATAAACATATACTTATATACTAGTATTAATGTAAGACGAATTATATTTCCTTACATATATCTGATTCCGTAATTAAAGGCAATAATAAACCATAAACCATCGGTTTACTTTTTGCTTTTGCAATATTCGAAATATTTGCCAAGAAATTACGCGAAGGTTTTGATTTTATATGTCGCACCTACAAACGAATTAATATTTAAAAAAAATCTCTACTGAAAAGGAAAAGAAAATATGATATATCGACCTTTTCTAATAATCCATATTTAAAAAATACAACATAATTTTGATATGCAATATCTTCATGCTTAACGATTTCATTGCATAAGATAGCCAATACAACATCATCAAGTTGGGAAATATCCAAGTCTTTAAATATTTTATTAAGCTAAATAATTGTAAGTTGAAAAAAGGGTTATTAATAGAGATGAATAAAGTCATTAATTAAAATTTTTGACACTTACTTGTGAATGTGGCAATCTCATTAACGTGTTAAAATCAGATAAAATCTCATCCGCTTTTCCAATACTTAATTTTGCACTTATATTTTGAATTAAATTTGGATCTACTTCACATACGAATTCTTGTGAAGAAGATTTAGCCGATTCATCATGATCTATTTAATTTCATAAAGGGTGTTAAAAATAACAAGAAAACCCGATTTTGTTTTAAAAAAAAATAAAAATAAAAATACATGTTAAATTCTCTTCATTCTCTTCATTGTGTGTGCGAAGAATACTTTGTTTTTTTTGAATCCGCCGATTAACAATATAATTCTTCGGAACGTAGCATTAAATCAAATATAAGGAATCAAGTTTATAGGAATAATTTAGAAATGACTTCTTTTTTTTTATTATTATTATTTGCCAAGGATATGAATATGGGCCGGGATTTTAGGTTTTCTTCGTGCAAATGCATTGATCCTGAATATTCAATATAATTATGATTGCATTTAATAATCTCACATTAATAATAATGATAATAAACCTTGGACTTCTAGCAAATTTTGTGTAAAACTGTCAAAAATTTCAGTTTCATCTTTAAAAAGCCCGTTTAATGTTGGACATGGAAATAAATTTTCTGTCTTTGAAAGTTTTAATTTCCATTCGCATAATAATTGTTCGTGAAGAGGGTGAAAATTTGACATTTTGAATTAATGTAACAGGAATGTGGAAAATTTGTATTTATGGATTTATGGATAATCGTAAGTAATTCTGATTGGCTAAAATTAAGAACTCGATATGCCCTATCACCATCGCGATCGCGTTACACTTGCAATTCTATATGCCTTTTAAAACTTTTAGTGAAGATATCTCGAAAACCACCTATCTAAAATTTTTTATTTCAATTCTAGAAAATTATATAATTAAAATAGAGAAATTTTATTGATTTTAGATAGATGTTAAGACAGCTATTACTGTATTAAAAATAATCATTGTAAAGTTGTTTTAAATTTTAGCAAAAATATATTGACAAAACCATTAGTTAATATGTAATATTATTAAACATTAGCGTTAGTAATAGCAAATCTTACATTGTATACTTTCAAACTACATAATTTTCATGTGGAATAACAATAATATTTGAGATGAAGAATACTAAACAACATCGGTGTTCAACACCAAATATAATTTGACTATAAAAGTAATGCAGTTATAGGTTAAGATAGAGGTATATATGAAGGCTCAATTTTTAATTACGTAGAAAAGTTTTTTATCCAACCTTAATTATTTAGCCAGTTTATGAGATATAGCAATTATGTTGAACATCGAAAATTTATCTTACCTCTCTGCATCTATGCCATAGTAGAAAGAATTAGACATAAAACGCTATTTAATGAATATAGGAATCCTTCATATATGCAATTTGCACTAAAATGACTGATATACTGTATATATTCAAATAAGTTACCTCAATTGATCTGAATCAGCCAATCAAACGAATTTCTACCAATGAGACTGGTGATGATCTGCAGTAAGACCGGAAGCGATCTGTGGCAATAACCTTTTTTAGGTTATTTTCGCGTGACTAATAATTGAATTTGTTAACAATACACACGACTTTATTGAGATGACCAAGCGTGTCGATGAAAGTATATAAGGGATATATAATTTTTTAATGTTTTTTAATGCTAAATTCTTTTTTTATATTTTCAAATCCACGTACTATATATTAAACACATTAATTATATTAATCAAAAGCGACGTGTATTCGTTTGTAACTGTTTTTTCTAAGAAATTTATTTGGAAAACAGTTTAAAGAATGAGATTTGATATTTATTTTTCTTTAGAATAGATTTATTTCTTAAGTTTTTGGTTCTTCTATTTATTACCGAGAGAAGGTATTGTTACGTTCTTTTCTTAAGCTGGCAAAAAGGCTGGATAGTTAAGTATACTAATGGTGGTTACTTTGAATGCAACCCTTTAACTTAAGAATGTTTTGCTTGCTTACGTTCTTATAGGATGCAACTATGGGTTGTTATAAACTTAATCGTAGGATACATATACTTGTTTCCCAAATCCCAAACTCTGGCCAAACTAATATCTCAAAAACTTGATTAATAATCTTCATTTAAACAAATGATATATATTCTTATAGCTAAGTATTTATAATATATATGCAAAATATCAAGATCATTTTTTTTGATTTAATTTTTTGTGAAAAACAATTGTATTTTTGAGTTTGGGATTTGTCCTGGTTTTGTTAACAAGTATTTGAGTTTGGGGTTTTGCCAACAAGTATAAGGATACACCTCTACGTGGTGACTAGAACAAGTAAGCTAAATTTTTAACTGAAACTAAGTATTCTTTTGGATAAATGCTTTATTATATTTTAGTTCTGTATTTATTGTACATTTTATTATTTATTTTATTATGATATTATTTTTCTAATATTGTTTAATAGATTATAATCAGTGCTGTTATATTTGTTTATTAGATAAAAACTAGAAACAAATAGAATATATTTTCTATAGGTTCTATTCATTTTATTGAAAATTCTATTAAGTTGTCAATAAAAAAATTTTATTGATATCAATAGATTATTAGAATCAATAGAATAAACATTATTATTCTATTCATGAATAGAATAATTATCTTCTTTAGGGGTTATGTCTCATTACCTCAAAAACTATTTCCCCAACATGTTATTTACTCGACATCATTCCGGGTGACAATTTATTAACAATATGTATACACAACCAATAAATACTAAATTGTCACCCTTTGTGATGTTGAGTAAATGACATTTTGGGGAAATAGTTTTCGTGAAAATGAGCTATACCTTTTAGAGAAACGGGATTACTGATATATTTAACTAAATTAACATTAAGATAAAGGAGGTGAGGGTCAGAATGGGCCATGATTAAAGGTGTTATGGGTAAAAATACCTTCTCGACTATAGCGATAAATGATGGGAAAATGAAAATTATAACAATGATTATTGATCATTTTCATTGTTAAAATTTCCATTTTTGAATTCTACCACCATCTATATTCCAGACATTTTTACCTAATGCACCAAAGTAGGTTTAAATATCCGTTTCTTGTATTTATTGTGTTTGTTAATTACTTTTCTTCGTCAAGCAGATTGTGTAAACAAAAATTCACAAATTTTCGGCAAAAATTGACCGACCGAATATTTGCCGATTCGAGAGATCCCTAATTTCTCCCACAGTTCTGATTGGACATTTGTAAATGCCGTCTCTGATTGGACAAAGTAGACTACGCCACTCTTCGTCTACCAATCAAATTATAAGATCAGGTGTA